AATTATTATTATTATTATTTCTTATATTAAATGTGAAATTCCTGGAAGTAAATTAAAAAAAAAAAAAAAAAAAAAACTTTCTTAATAGCCAGCCAATGTCTAAAATTCAAAATTTCATCCCTTTAGCTTGTGTCTAAAATATAGAACACCCACTTCCCAGAAAATATTCATTTTATGTCAGGCACTCATATTTTGGAGTGAAAAAAGACATATTATCAGTTATAAATAGGAATGTCACAGGGACAGCAAGATAATGATAATTAGGTCTACTTCACAGTTCAATCTACATTTGCCCAGTGGTCTTTCCCTTCATAGCCTAATAAGAACCAAGCTTTGAGTCAGGTGTGAAGGGTCAAGGAGACTCTCTATGGAGAGACAGGATTAATAGGCAAAAATAACCTATCTTTAAAGCAACAGCCAGGTATCCTACTTACACGTGGACAACCCTGGCCTCATTTGGAAACCAGCCTCCTTGGAACATCTGGAACTTAAAAGGGGGTTGCCCAATAAAGGGTCTACCACCAAAGCCAGCTTCTGGATCCATCCATGAAACTCCCCACCGACCATGACCTATATTTCCTTTTCTTACTTGTATCAGCAGGTGGCCACTGAACTATCCCCTCATTTGAACTTGCTTATCTTCAGAAACAACTCATCTATAAATTCTCCCCACTCTGCAGGTCACAGCTTTAGGCGAATCACAGAAAAAGATAAGAGAAATGGAAAAAGAGAACTGATCTTCTAAGCCTTATGTAAAATAGCTGGATTTTAAGAGAGTTCCTTGATGGGTACAGCAGCTCACACCTATAATCCCAGCACTTTGGAAGAGATTCCTGTACAACATAGAGAGACCCTGTCTATTCAAAAAATTAAAAATAGAAAAAAAAGTTAGTCAGGCCCCGTGACTCGTGTTATCTCACCAGGCCAGTGTTACTGGGAGGCTGAGGCAAGAGGATCACTTGAATCCAGGAGTTTGAGGCTATGGTGAGCTATGATCACACTACTGCATTCCAGCTTGGATGACAGATCAAAATCCTAACTCATAAAAACAAAACAAAATGTAAAAGCATTCCTTTCTACTGCAAAAGTATACCAGGGCTCCTGCTATCTCATAAGCCTTCACAACTGCACAGGGAAAACTATGACAGATCAAATGTAGCATGCACGGTTTCCCTAGCAAGTAGATTTAGGGGAAGAAAAAAAAAACCTGTAGCATGGAATTTCCACCCTCATCAGTCAGAAGAAACAGAATAAGTCAACAAGTGGTCCCAGGAATTATATCATGCCTATGTCAAGAAAAGGCCATTTAACACCCCAGTGGTAAAAAGGATTCCATCTAAGGAACCGCCTGGATATTTCAAATGCGCCCAGTCAAGAGACAAGATTACCTAAGGGAAGGGTGGGACTAGAGTTCCCACGGTTGTTGGAATAGGCACACCTGAACACCAGGCTTTCAGGCAACAGAGTTGGCCCAGTCTTAACTTTCCCTTTCCAACAGAAGTGGCCCCAACCTCTCCCATGCCGCTCAGTACTAGAGCTGACTAAGAGCAATGGATTTATCATCTCGCCAGGCCATTCTTCCAGACAAGTAGGCCTGAGATGGGGTCTCTCCTTGCTGATCTAAAAGGTCAAGGTGCCCCAAAGGCTTCCTCTTACTGCCAACAAAAAACATCCTGAGGGGGGATGAGGAAAGTTGTTCGGGAGAGATAGAGACATTTGTCATGACTCCTAACCAAAAAGAACTTCTTGGACTGTTTGGAACAGGCAGTGCCATGTGTGGATCCTCCATGAACCTCACATGTACAAACCTAGGTTTCAACTTGCCCACTTCGGGCAACTCAGTTCTGAGCCAAAGCCTCCAGCCCAGTCCACCCGGTAGCAAGGCCTTACCTGCTGCAGTGGACTCCTCAGAGTTGGCCCCCGAGCTGGTTCCTGTCGCCTTCTCACTGTGACTATGGCTGAGGCTCTGGCCCTGGTGCAGGAGGAGTCCCCAGAGGAGCCACAGGGCAAGACGGGAGCATATATCCATGACTCTAGGTCTCAGTCAACATGCGTCTGATGTGGACTCCTCGGGATCCCAGAGGCAAAGCCAGGAGCCCGGGAGTGCAGCCGACGTCTCCGGGCAAGACACCCTCGCCGCTCCGCAGCTGTCCAGCCACCCGCGGGCCGGCCCCCTCCAACAGCCAAAGGTCAAGTGCTCCAAGTTTAAGTGCGGGAGGAGGGCTGGCTCCTCAGGTTCAATAGTGCGTCCGCTGGGGCTGCGGCGGCCTGAGCTCGTGCCGCTTCCGGACAGTTTGGGCAGGGTGGCTGCGGGGACCCTGTCAGCTCCGCAGCCTGCTACACCCCTGAGTGAGGGGACGGCCGGGGTCTCCGCGGGCACAGGAGTTGGGGAGGGTAGAGAAGAGAAGCGAGGCGAGAAGGGGGCACCTGACCTTGCCCAGCCGAAGAGCGGCGAGCAGCAGAAGCTGGGGAGGGCGTGCGACCCGCAGGGTCCCGCGGGCGCGAGCGGCTCCGGGATCCTGGGCCTCCTAGGCCGAGGTCAGCGCCCCCGCCCAGTCCCGTGCCCAGGCGACTGGCGGTGCCCAGGTCCAGCAGGCGGACGCGCACGGGCCAGGCCCAGGACAGCGGCTCCCAGGCAGGCTGGCGGGCGGCATGGGGCGGACCCGGGGCGGGCGGGGGCGTGCTTTCCCGCGGGCCCGCCCCGCGCCGCCCGGCCCCCAGCGAAGCTCAGGCCCGCCCCAACCCCCGGCTGGATGCCGGAATAACCAGTGGAGACGGCCCCCTGGAGCCCCCAGTCCCCGGCGGGTTCTCTCGGACCCCGGGCCCGCGCTAGTCTTTGCCAGAACCCCCCTCCCGCGCCAAGGACCAAGTCCCAGCCTCCCTTTCCCCCTCCAGAGTCTCCCGCGCCAACCGCTGGCCGGCGGGCGGGTCCCTGACCCTCAGTTGCTCAGGTAACTCAGGCCTGCGGCGGCTGCGGCGGCGGCGGCGACAGCAGCTGCCCTGCCCCTGTCTCCAGGCCGTGGTGCTGCTCCACTCGCCTCAGCTCTAGACCGGTCTGAACAGAGGCCCGGGACACAACGTTAGCCTCCCAGGAGCCACCTGAGGCGACAACAGCCCGGCCCGCCTCGGCCCGGGGGCGAGCTCCCAGCCCCCCACTCCAGGCCAGTTCCCAGGCTCCGCCCTCCCGCCGCGCCTGACTACCAATCGGCTTCCGCCTCTCTGCGGCTTAGGAACCCGCGCTCTTTGTCGCCCATGCGCAGCGGCCCCTGGTGGGAATATCGGCGAACTGCAGGCAGGACTTGGCGCTCCTTGGAGGTCCTGCTTTTTTGCAAGAGGGCTGGGGAGTGAAGATAGGACGCGCCCCGGGGGAGGCCCACTAGGACCACTGGGGCCTGCGAGTTGTTTTAAGAGGAAATGATGATGTCAGAAAGCAAAATGAAATGTCCAAACCACTCTAGCTAAAATTCCTCAACACATTCCTTGAGTCTGGGCCAAAGGGTGCCATCTGCCTTCCTGACCACGCCTCCCCTCCCCTCTTAGCTAAGTGGGATGCCCTCCTTTAGCTCTCACAGCCCGTTTTCCTACCTGCCCCTCAAGCTCCCAGCCCTTTAAGGTTTTTCGGTGGGGCCTGTAAATGCTTCCCCCCTGCATCTCATTCTCCCAGCTACCTCTCTGTGTCGCTGGCTGGAGGTGTCAGCAACTTGAGAATGAGTGCGCCAAAGAAGAGAGCCACGCCTGAGCCTCCTTCAACAAAGCCTGCACTTCCTGTTCTCAAGCGTGCTGTCAGCAGATCTGGACTGAAACCTCCTCTTTGCCCTACCCTGTCCTTGGCACCAAGGCAGGGGAAGGGATTAGGCCCAGTCCCTCCTCTGACTGACAGTGCTAAACCAGCTACCTGTTCTGAGCAAGCCCTTTGAAGACTGGGAACACGGATTTGCCCAACAGCTGCCTGGCTTAAGGGTTAGGCGGTTGATATAAAAATACATGGCCAACGTCACCTACTACCCCTCTCCCGGCTCTTTTAAGCTCCTGTTACACTAGCTTTAAGTGCCTAAACACGTCAAACTCAGCCACCTTACAGCCTTTGTAACTGCTGTTGCTTCTGCCTGAAACACTCTCCCCAGCTCCCAGTTCCTCACGCAGCTGGTGTCTCATTCTTCCAGATACAGCTCAATGTCTCTCCTTAGAAACTTTTACTCTGTAGTTTTAGTAGAGACGGGGTTTCACCGTGTTGACCAGGATAGTCTCGATCTCTTGACCTCGTGATCCACCCGCCTCGGCCTCCCAAAGTTCTGGGATTACAGGCTTGAGCCACCGCGCCCGTGGTGGCGCGTGCCTGTAATCCCAGCTACTCAGGAGGCTGAGGCAGGAGAATTGCCTGAACCCAGGAGGCGGAGGTTGCGGTGAGCCGAGATCGCGCCATTGCACTCCAGCCTGGGTAACATGAGTGAAACTCCATCTCAAAAAAAAAAAGAAACTTCTACTCTGTCCACACCTTCAAAATCAGTCTGTGGCCAAAACTGGACCATACACGTGTCTGCCCTTCCCCCAGCAGATAGTGATTGCCAGTTTTCAGAGGTGAGGCTGTGCCTCATTCATCTCTGTGACACTAGGACCCAGCCATAGACCCTGCAAATAGTAAGTGCTCAGTAAAAGCTGGATGACATGAGTTAATTCATTTGAACACTCAAATACTAAAAACTAATACTCAATACCAGAACATTGGAAAATTGACCAGAACAGTTGAACCCCTGACCTAGGTTTTACTAGACCTATTCTCTGAGCCAGGGATCTTAAATTCAAATGGCAAAATGGGCAGTAGGTAATATGATTAAGAAAAGTAAGTGGAAGTAATGGGGAGTGGTGAGGACTGTGGATAGCAGGCAGAAAGGTGGGCCTAGTATTGCTGGAGTGTCATTAAGAGAAGATGGGGCTGGGTGCAGTGGCTCATACCTCTAATCCCAGCACTCTGGGAGGCCAAAGTGGGAGGATTACTTAAGCCCATGAGTTTAAGACCAGCCTGGGAAACATAGTGGGACCCTACCTCTAGCAAAAAAAAATTTTTTAATTAGCTAGTAGTGGTACCTGGTGTCTGTGATCCCAGCTACTCAGGAGGCTGAAGTGGGATTATCGCTCAAATCCAGGAGGTCAAGTCTGCAGTGAGCCATGATCACACCACTGTACTTCAGCCTGGGCAACAGAGCAAGACCCTGTCTCAATTTTAAAAAAGAAAAAAAAGAGAGAGAAGATGGAAATCTGGACTTTCATATTACATATCCTTTTTTAAAAATATTAGCAATTCACTTAAAAGGATAAAACCTTATATAGGCCACATAAAACATGTCTGCAGCCCAGATTAATCACTCAGACTGACAGTTCATCATTTCTACCTAAGCCAGCTCTCCTGCCTGTGCATTCATTTGGCTAAGAGAACATGAAAGAAAAGAGCAAAGTAAAGCATGTTTAACACAACTTCCTTCAAACTTGACCATAGCATTTCTTTTCACCACCACATGATTTCTTCCGGGTTATGGGTGCTTATCTATTTGGTATAACAAACAAGTCTTAGAGACAGGAAGCCAGAGCCTATTACCAGTTTACACCAAGACCTTAAACCTCTTGGAGCCTGTCAAATTTCCTGTGACACTAAAATGATGTCTAGGAACTAAAAATAGTGACTATGATGCACCAGTTCCAATTCTGGCTATATACCCAAAAAATGAAAGCATGGTCTTGAAGAAAATTGTACACACCCATGTTCACAACAGCATTATTCACAACAGCCACAAGGTGAAAGCAACCCACGTGTTTGTGGATGGATGAATGGATAAACAAAATATGGTACATACATGCAATGAAATACTACTCAGCCTTAGGAAAGAAGGAAATCCTGACCATGCTACAACATGGCTGAACCTTAAGGACAGTCTGCTCAGTGAAATAAGCCAGTCACAAAAGGATAAATACTGCGATTTCATTTATTTTATTTTATTATTTATTTATTTATTTATTTTTTTGAGACGGAGTTTCACTCACGTTACCCAGGCCATTTATATGAATGTACCTAAAACAGTCAAACTCATAGAGACAGAAAGTAGAGTAGTGGTTGCCAGAGACTAGGGAGAGGGGAGAGAAGAGAATTGCTTAACGGGTATAGTTTCAGTTTTACAAGATGAAAAGAGTTTTGGAAATTGGCTGAACAACAATGTGAATGTACTTAACATGACTAAATTGTACACTTTAAAATGATTAAGGTGGTAAAATGTAGGTATATACATAGATATAGATATATAGATTTTTTTTTTTTTTTTTTGAGATGGAGTCTCGTTCTGTTGCCAGGCTGGAGTGCAATGGCTCGATCTTGGCTCACTGCAACCTCTGCCTCCCAGGTTCAAGTGATTCTCCTGCCTCAGCCGCCTGAGTAGCTGGGACTACAGGCACGCACCACCACGCCCAGCTAATGTTTGTGTTTTTAGTAGAGATGGGGTTTCACCATGTTGACCAGCATGGTCTTGATCTCTTGACCTTGTGATCCACCCACCTTGGCCTCCCAAAGTGCTGTGATTACAGGTGTGATCCTGTAATGGCACCTGGCTATTTATTTTATTTTTATTTTTTCCTGATAGCAGTAACTTAATTTTATTTTATTTTATTTTTTATTTCTTTTTATTTTTAATTGTGATTATAAAATACATAACAGGCTGGGTGGGGTGGCTCATGCCTGTAATCCCAGCACTTTAGGAGGCCAAGGCCGGCAGATCACTTGAGGTCAGAAATTTGAAAACAGCCCTCCAACATGGTGAAACTCCATCTCTACTAACAATACAAAAATTAGCTGGGCATGGTAGCTGAGGCAGGAGAATTGCTTGAACCTGGGAGGCAGAGGTTGCAGTGAGCTGAAATCATACCACTGGACTCCAGTATGGGTTACAGAGTGAAACTCCATCTCAAAAATAAAATAAAATAACAAATAAATGGTACCTGGGAGCCAAAGCCACAGCCTGGGCAACAGGAAGAACATTCTGGTATCTTCTCTGCCTCCAAGATCACTATGTGACACTAGAAAAGTCACTTCCCCTCTGATTTCAGTCTCTCAACTGTAAATAGGACAGCTACCAGATTACTGACCCGGTGCAGCTTTAATATTCTACAAAATTTAAAAATCCTGAAACCTAATAGATCTTCCTGGATCAGAAGCTGTGACACTCATCTCTAAAGCCCCTATGCTTCATCATTCTGAAAGTGTGGCCCTTGCAAGAACCCAGGTATATTCTGGGGCTCACACCTAAAATCCTAGCACTTTGGGAGGCTGACATGGGAGTATCACTAGAAACCAGGAGTTTGAGACCAGACTAGGCAACATAGTGAGACTATCTGTACAAAAAGATATAAGCATTAACTTGGCATGGTGGCATGTCCCTGTAGTCCCAGCTACTTAGGAGCCTGAGGCAGGAGGATGGCTTGAGCCCAGGAGGTTGAGGCTACAGTGTGCTATGATTTGCCACTGTACTCCAGCCCCAGTGACAGAGCAAGAATCTGTTTAGAAAAAATAAAAAAGCCGGGCACGGTGGCTCAAGCCTGTAATCCCAGCACTTTGGGAGGCCAAGGCGGGTGGATCACGAGGTCAAGAGATCGAGACCATCCTGGTCAAGGTG